TGATTCAGTAACACATCCTAGACAGCTCTTTAGTGCACTCTCCTCAACTGTTTTGTTAAAATAATGTTTTTTTCATTTGCTTTCCACCCACTGTGACTGAGATACAGCCTTTATACCATGGTGTGTTACACTCTGGGAAAAATAAGTGTTTGTAGTACCTGCAGTAGTTAACAGAGACCTACAAATTAGCACCAGAAAAAGAAACCCCACACATGTATACATAACACAGAGATGCAGATAACAGTGTGGCGACAACCAGAGGGAAAGGGCCGTGGGGACTAGGTAGAAGTGGGCAAAGGTGGGGAAAATGGGGATGGAAAGAGACTTGCTTGGGACAATGGGCACACAGTACAGTGCACAGATGATGTTTTATTGAGTTGTAACTTGAAATCTGCATGGTTTTACAGACCATTATGACCCCAATAAACTCAATTAAAAATAAAAAGCTTTTCCACTTTTGGGAATTTATCCAAAGAATCCTGAAACACTCATTTGAAAAAATATATGCACCCCTGTGTTAATTGCAGCATTATTTACCATAGCCAAGATTTGGATGTAGCCCAAATGCCCATTGGTAGATAATTGGATAAAAAAATATGTGGTACATTTACACAATTGGAATACTACTTGGCCATAAAAAAAAAAGAAGGAAATTTTACCCTTTGTGACAGGATGGATGGACCTGGAGAGCATTTTGCTCAGTGAAATAAACCAATTAGAGAAAGACAAATACCATATAATCTAATGAACAAACAGACTCATAGGTAGAGAGTAGGCTGATAGCTATTGAGGGAAGTGGGCTTGGGGCGGGGGGATGGTGCATGGAGGGTTTGAGCAAAAGAGAATAAAAGAACCCATGGACATGGACACAGTGGTGATTGTAGGGGGAGAGGCCCCCCCCATGGAGGGGAGGACGGTATAGAGGGGATAAATGGTGATGGATGGAAATTTTACTGAGGGTGGTGAACACACAGTATACAGATGATGTGCTGTGGAATTGTGCACCTGAAACCTGTATAAGTTTGTTAACTAGTGCCACCCCAATAAATTTAATAAAAAGGAAAAAAATTCTAGAAGATAAAAAAAGTCAATCATAAAGATCTTGTTTTCCAAATTGCTAATGCTTGAAATGATATTGATAAATCAGCGTTATTAAATGCTGAACACTGTAGTGACAATAAAGTTTGAAAATGAACCTGCGAATAAAGATTTTTGCAACATTTTGTATCACCAATGAGAAGATGATACCTGACTTCATTAAGTAGACCAGATATTTTAACAGCCAAAACCATAAATAAGTCAGCAGAATCTGACATTGAAGAAATGTTGGACATCGATCATGATGCTTCTGTTATGCATTCTTGGATGGTGGGGAAACTACTGAAAGGTTGTTAAACACAAGCATGAAGAAAGTCATGACTGCGTTGATGGCTACATTGTGAATACAAATGGAAAAATTACTGAAGGCATTATGGTGACAAACAGCATTGGTGGAGCAGAAACATTTAATATGACAGATGACATTGGTAGAAATCTTTTCAGGAGGCCATCTTGAATAGCATTGCTTTATCACTTGAGAATCCTGATCCTGGCTCATCATCAATGTCTAATTCTAACCTCATGGGCCCTTCTCCACAAGATCCTCCAGCTACCAGATTTCATGAAAATGTATTACATATATAGACACACATACATGCAGTTATTTAACTTTGAAATGTATTTCAAAGTTTACCGAATATTTTCCTTTAAAAATAGAAGTAATAACTGTTTTAGTCTATACAATTCTATATTTGTTTATTACTACATATAGTTACTATATAAATTATTATACTGTTTGCAGTGTACATCCATTTAATGTGAATATTCATTTTTCTAAACAAATATTTGTGTTTACTAGTAGGAAGATGTTTTTACCTTGGAGAAATCTAGAAATTCTGAATTGCAAAATACATCTGAAACCAAATGTTTAATAAAAAAAAAAATGGTAGCCTTGTACTATAAAAAAGGAGATGGTGACTTCCAGAATAGCAGAGTATGAACCTCCTCGGAAAGTCTGCTTTTTTATAAAAGCAACAAAACACTGACAAAAGTTGCCAAGGTCAATTTTTGTAGAACTCTAGGAATTAAAGATTTACAATAATCCTAGGAAGGTTTATTCTAGAAAAATGACTGAGACACAGAAAGAGCAGGAAGCTTTGTGGCATTTTAGCTTTCCTTATTTCTGTCCCCTTCCCCCAGCTTTGTGGGAGCCTTGAAAATTAGCCTTACATCTACAGGAGTTGTGAAGCACTACAGCCTAGCAACCCTTGGAGGGACAGGACAGGTTTGCAGTTCCCCAAAAAGCCCCAACCCAGAGAATTTTCACTATTTGACCTCTCTGGCAATTCTCTGAAAAACTTTATTCTCAAGGTTCTTCTTTATCCCCAAGGTTTTTGTCAAGAAAATCGGTGGTGATTGCTTAACCTCATAGTTTTAGGAGACAGCACTAACAAGAGCCGGACCAAAACTCTTAAAAGGAAACACTGAGGAATGTCCATAGGAGTCTTTGCAAAGCTCTAACATTTTGTTGGGAATCCAGAATGATATCCACGGGAAGGGTTGTGTACCCAAGAAGATGGAAGAAGGCCCTAATCTCTCACTTCTGGCTGACCTTGCAGGTCTGTGCAAGCAGGAAGTGAAGGCTAAGTCAGAGTTGTAAACTGCCCACGGAAACATTGAAAGCATGGCCCTACACACAGCACCTCACAAAGGCTGGTGGTTTAAGGCATTTAAGAAAGTCTGTCCACTCATTAGTGAATAAAGACTTCAGTAGCTGCACACAACAAAGAATATAGGTGTTATACAAACAGTCTGGAGAAGTCACTAAAATAACAGCAACATGAAACCCTGAGGAAGGCCCATGGGGAATCTGATTTCCAGGGCTGCCCATTATGTGATATAAAATGTTCCTTATGGGACACACAAAGGAGCAGGTAATTATGGCCTGTGCATGCACAAGAAAGCAGTCAGTTGAAACAATCTCTAAGAAAGCCCAGATTTCCTGGGAAAAGACTTTAAAATTGGCTACTACAGATATGTTTAAAGAACACCATCTAAATAACTCAAAGAAAGTAAGAGAACAATATCCCAGCAAATAGAGACTATCAATAAAGTGATAGAATTTATTTTTTAAAGAAAAGAACCAAATGAAAATTCAAGAGTTGAAAATATAACAAGTTTCAAATGAACTTAACATCATATTTGAGTGAAGAGAACAAAGAATTTGAAGATAGAGCAATTGAGATTTATCCAATCTGAGGAACAAGAAAGTAAGAATGAAGAAGAATTAACAGTCTCGAGACTTGGAGGATACCATCAAGGATACCACCATACACATAATGGGAGTCCCAAAAGAGAAGAGAGAAAACTAGTAAAATGGTTGTTTTAAGAAATTATGGCCCAAAACTCCTTAAATTGGATGGCAAACAATGTACATGTCTAAGAAGCTCAACAGTATGGAGAATGAGTTTCTTTTGGAGGTGATGAGAGTGTTCTGAAATTGGATAGTGATGATTGCACAACTGTGAGAATATGCTAAAAACTTTTGAATGATTCCCTATGAATTGTATCTTAATAAAGCTACTTTGTTAAAAACAAAAAGGAGGATATTCTTATGATGGAAAGATCTCCAAAATACATGGTAAGAGAAAAGAATGTGTGACAGTGTATATAATATGTCACTTTTTATAAAGAAGGGGGGAAATAAAAATTTGTAATTGGCTCTTACATTTAAAAATATTGTAAGGGTTCATAGGAACGAATAAAGATGGTTACCCACAGGGCTGGAAGTGAGGTGATAATTGTGCTGTACGTATGAAAGCAACACTTCTCTCTGTATCTCACTTTACAGTGATTATTTTAAACTACATGTATGCATGATTTTTAAAAAGTCTAAATTCTTGTGTGGAATCAGTGGGGAATCTAGTAGGGGAAATAGGCTGTAAATAAGTAATTATATAAACATTGTAAAGAGTTATTTTAATTTTATTTCATAAGTTGATACTTATTTATATGGTCCAGTATGTAGCAGATAAAGACCATGTGACGGACACAGGCAATAGTGTGGTGAAGGCCTGGGAGGGGTGGGTGCTTGTTGTTTACAGGAACAGGTTCTGGGTTTGACTCAGGCCCCAGTTTCCTAGCCCATAATCTAGAGCAGTGGTTGGCAAACTGCAGCTCGCGAGCCACATGCGGCTCTTTGGCCCCTTTAGTGTGGCTCTTCCACAAAATACCACGTGCGGGCGCGCATGTACAGTGCGATTGAAACTTCGGGGCCCATGCACAGAAGTCGGTATTTTGTGGAAGAGCCACACTCAAGGGGCCAAAGAGCCACATGTGGCTCGATAGCCGCAGTTTGCCGACCACTGATCTAGAGCATTGCTTCGTGGTGGAAGGAATAAATGTATTCTAATTCTTAACATTAAGAATATATCTACCTTTGTTCTGTCGATGAGAGTGGTCTTTCCTTGTGTCATAAGAACAGATAGTGCCTGACTTCTGTGCTTGTGGTGGCAACATAGATACCTTTTAGGAAATTAAGTTTCAGCACTGAAGCAAAAATCTCTGAAATGGGAGGTGTTTTTTTTAGGAGAGAGGCTGCTAAAACTTGTAGCTTAAAGAGGAAACCATTTGCCTGGGTACCTAGTGTCTTGCATTCCACATCTTTACTACCTGCCGTGTTGCCCTTGGGCATAATAGGAAAGAACACTGAAAAGGAATTGGATCCACATTTATCCATGGAAATGCTAAACCTTAAAGAAAAAACTTACTGGGTCTCGGTTTCTCTGAGCTTTGGTGCCCCCTTCTACAACATGAAGAGATTGGACTAGAGATGGTACTTCAGATCCCTTCTAGCTCTGAAGATGGGCATTCCGGGGGTTCCGGCAGGAGCAGACTTCTACACATGCTTATTAAAGCAGACACTTCGGGTCATTTTTCTGAAAACGTTGCTTTGAGAAATGACAGCGTGTAACTGTGGCACCTGTTTCTCCTTCAGGTGCAGAGATGGACCTCGTTCTCAGTGCTGCCGATCGTTATGTTTTCACACCATACGTATACCCAGCCACGTGGCCAGAGGACAACTTCTTCCGACAGACTCTCAGCCTCCTGATTGTGACAAACCTTGGGGCTTATATCCTTTATTTTGTCTTTGCAACACTCAGCTATTATTTTATCTTTGATCATTCTTTAATGAAACATCCACAATTTCTAAAGGTAAGTGATTTTCTTACCTATTTTAACTACTGTTACAGTAAAAAGAAAACACAATGTGATGAATTTGTGAGCTATTCAGATTAAATAAGTAAAATTTTTGAAACCAGCCCCAGGTGGGTTATATGTTTTTGGTAGGGCTAATCCCACATCTCCTTCCTTAATTTAAACAAATAATGAATCCAAATTTTTTTTTTTAAACTAAAAGCCTGGTACTTCATAACTTTAGTTACAAAGAATTTCTTTAGTCCTGGCTGATTTGGCTCAGTGGATAGTGCATCGGCCTGTGAACTGAAGGGTCCCGGGTTCAATTCTAGTCAAGGGCACATGCAGGGTTGCAGGATCGATCCCTAGTAAGGGGTGTGCAGGAGGCAGCCAGTCAATGATTTTCTCTCATCATTGATGTTTCTATCTCTCCCTCTCCCTTCCTCTCTGAAGTCAATAAAAATATTAAAAAAAAAAAAAGAATTTCTCTGCTAATAGTGATAAATAAATGCACACATTTGTGTAGTTATTTTTATATTTGACTCATAACTGAAATAAATTTTGCTATGTATATTTTTCTTTAGCTAGAGGATCCAAACACAGTAATTTTAGTTTATAATAATTTCTCTGTTTCAGTTATTTGTATTTGTCAAATACAAGTCTCCAAGAACTGAGGAAAAAGGATTATGGATGGAAGTTAACTATGAAAGAAATAATTATTCAGTAAAATCGAAATTTAGAATACAAATTTGTTGGAAGGAGAATAAGCTTGAGAATCTTAAATATTTATTGTTTTTGCTCAAAACAAAAGGAATTTTTTCTGACCCATTCCCACGTATTAACATTTTAATAGAAACGTTTTGGGAATTAGCTTGTTCATATAAGAGAGATTCTAGGCCGGCCGGTGTTGATCAGTGGTTGAGCATCTACCCAGGAACCAAGAGGTCATGATTCGATTCTCCATCAGGGCACATGCCCCAGTAGGGAGCATACAGGAGGCAGCCAATCGATGATGTTTCTCTCATCGATGTTTCTATCTCTCTATCCCTCTCCCTTTCTCTCTCAAAAAATCAGTAAAAACATATTTTATAAAAAAAAAAAAAAAATACAGGAGATTCTAAAAATCCAACCCCAAACAACTCTGTGCTGGTGTTGCTTAATGAGCAGTGATTTTTAAGTATTGGAAATTTCATTTTCAGAACCAAGTCTATCGAGAGATCATGTTCACTGTCCAGGCACTGCCGTGGATAAGCATTCCTACTGTCGCGCTGTTCCTGCTGGAGCTCAGGGGTTACAGCAAGTTGTATGATGACGTAGGAGGCTTTCCAAGTGGTAAGTGAATAGCAAGGTCAGCCCAAGCTGGTGTTTCTAAAGAGGCTAACCTGCCTCTTCCTTCTTTTAAAATAATTAGAAAGCCCTGGCTGGTTTGGTTCAGTGGATAGAGCATTGCCCTATGGACTGAAGGGTCCCGGGTTCAATTCCGGTTAAGGGCACATTCCCAGGCTGTGGGCTCGATCCCCAGCAGAGGATGTGCAGGAGGCAGCCAATCAATGATTCTCTCTCATCATTGATGCTTCTCTCTCTCTCTCCCTCTCCCTTCCTCTCTGAAATCAATAAAAATATAAAATAATTAGAAATTGCTCAGTTGTTTTTAATATTTGTTAATATTCTTTTATGCATTTATGTCTTGCCATATAATGTGCATTTATTTAAGTTTATCTGTCAATTTTAAATCTTTGTTTTAGATGAAATTGTGCCTGGAGAAAGATTGGCATGATCAGATATATAAGCCTTTGCATTTGCTACCCTGTATTGAAATCAAACTTCTAAAAAAAATAACTCAAGTAATACATAACAATTATGGAAAATCAGAAAATACAGATTTTAAAAAATCAATTATCTTTCTACTAGAAACTGTAAATCATCTGACATGTCCTCTATGCCTGTATACTTCATTATCTACATTATAAAAATGAAACCTCACTATGCATACTGCTTTGGAGTCCATTTTTTTTTTTTTTTTGCTGTTAACAATATCTATGCCCATATTGTTATGCCTATAAATATTAGCATTATCTAATGTTAGTTAGTGTCTCATTCTGTAGATAGCCATAGTTTATTTAAATGAGCTCTAATTTTTAGACCTTTAGAGTGTTTCTTTTTGTCTATTATAAACAGTCCTACAGTAACTAAGCTCACTTTTTGTGAAATTCTGAAATTATTCCATCAAGATACATTCTAGTGTCTAGTATTAAACAGTAAGAATAATAGTTAACATTTATTGAGTGTTAATAAGTACCAGCTACAGATTTAAGCTTTTCACGTCTTAATTCATTTTATCCTACATAAGTTGTATGAGGTAGGTTCTATTATTCTGCTTTATAGGTGAGTAAATTAAGTTTGCAGAGAAGTTTAGTAACTCGCCCACATTTCTCAACCAATAAGTGGTGGGTCAGCCCCAGCCCCTGCTTTCTAAGTAAAGATCAGTTAGTTAAGTGAGGAAACAGAAATCACACACCAAGGTGATGACTTGACTAGGCTTTGAAAAGTGATGGGATTGTGAGTGAAAATCAATGGCAGAAGGGCATTCTGGACGCATGGAAACGGATGAGTAACGGTATAGCGGCAAGACTTCCAAGATGTTGGGAGGACGTTGAGTAACCCAGCCTGGTTAGGACAGGAATAGATGACGTTGGAAAAATCAGAAAGGGCTGGGTTATGGAGTAAATGCTCAGTTTGAGGTATTTAGTGAAAAATAAAATTCTAACCAGGGAGATATGTATAAAGACATGTTTATGAAGGAAGATTATTAAATAGAATTATTCTCAGAGATTTAAATAATACCCATGCTTCAGGAATATCTTTTTTCTGTCTCATAAATAGCTTAATAGTATAATTAAGAAAGATTTTAGGTGGAGCATTTTCAAGTTTTTATAGGAAGAAAAGGAGGAAATGAGCAGATTCCAGAGAGTCAAAGGAGATGAATTTATAATGTGTTTGGCCAAAACCGATAGTTTGTAATATTTGAGTCTAGGTTCATACTTTGCTTTTAGACATGTAAAAAAGAAATGCTAATCCTAGGAGGTGACTGTGGATTCCACTGTGCACTGTTCTCTCTCCTAGGCTGGTTTCACCTCATCGTTAGTGTACTGTCCTTCCTCTTCTTCACTGACATGCTGATCTACTGGATCCACAGAGGCCTTCATCATAGACTTGTGTATAAGGTACATCATTTTTTAGGGAAAGAAAACAATAGTATATATGAATATATATAAAACTGAAACTCATAGACACAGACAACAGGATGGTGGTTACCAGAGGGAAGAGGGAGGGCGGGTAGTAATTGGGGGACAAATACATGATGACAGAAGATGATGTGACACTGGGTGGTGGGCACACCATACTATATACAGAGCATGTATGATAGGATTGTACGCTTGAAACCTATATGACCCTATTAACCAATGTCACTCCAATAAATTCAATTTTAAAAAACAGAAATCACCCTAACCGGTTTGGCTCAGTGGATAGAGCGTCGACCTGTGGACTGAAGGGTCCCGGGTTCAATTCCAGTCAAGGGCACATGCCAGGATTGCGGGCTTGATCCCCAGTGGGGGGCGTGCAGGAGGCAACTGATCAATGAGTCTCTCTCATTATTGATGTTTCTATCTATCTCTCCCACTCCCTTCCTCCACATAGAAATATGCCTGAGTTCAGTAATCTGATGTGGCTTACAAAAAAAAAAAATAAAAGAAAAATCCTGCCCTAACCAGTTTAGCTCAGTGGGCTTGATCCCCAGTGGGGGGGGGTGCAGGAGGCAGCCGGTCAATGATTCTCTCTCATCATTGATGTTTCTACCTCTCTCCCTCTCCCTTCCTCTCTGAAATCAATAAAGAAATATTTTTTTAAAAAAAATCCTATGCCTGACCTGATTTGTTGTTTTAGTCAATGAATCCCACCACTCAGGATCCTTGTGTAAAACTTCAAGAATAATTTGAGTTTCTTGATCCTGGGTCAGTCCCACTGGATACCTTTAGTCCAGATTGGCGCCCTTCAGGCTAGGCTAGCTGGGATCCGGGTTAGTAGGGAGGATGGAGTTACCAGGTTCCCAACTGATGTTCTCACTGAATTTTGTTGCCCATTTGAACAAAACTATAGATTCCACTGATATAGATATAGATTGACCACTGATACAGATTGAGGAACATGGAATTTTATTGACTGAATTGTGATTTGCCACATACCTCGTTCTAACTCAAATTCTACAGCAAGTGTTGCAATCTAGCAGTATTTTCAAAGAGGGTCCCCAGACTACCTGGGTCCTTATTAAAAATTGATATCTGGTTCCCACTCTACACTTAATCCATCGCAATCTTGGAGCTAGAACTCAGGTGTCACTTTATCAAACTTCTCAGATGATACTTAGACACTAAAGATTGACGGTTGGAAGATGGCCTGGGCATCCGGAGAGAAGCCATGATAAGGGTCCCTGGTTCTGGGGGGGATGCAGTGTGGAGTGCCCTATAGTGGGATGTAGGGCAAGCTGAGGTGACCAAAAAAAAGGAAAAATAGTATACATTTAAGCAGTTTGCAATTATAAATTAGTTCTCTATTTCCAAGAATTTCCTCTAATTATGGTAAATACCTAAGTAACCATAGTGATGAAAATACCAGGTGTATTTTGCTTGTATTTTTTATGAGTCTGGAGTGTTGGTGCTAAAGTTTCACTGTTTGGCAAGTAAAGAAGGAAGGCATTTTATAAAGTGATTCTGCTAGTTTCGAAGGGGTTTTTAGGTAAGTCTTCTCCACAGCATGAGTATGACACGCTCAGCTGCGTGCTGACCTCGGTGAAGTGTGTAGTGCTGATGGTGTTCTTTTCTTCTGCAGCACATCCATAAGCCTCATCACATCTGGAAGATTCCTACTCCGTTTGCAAGTCATGCTTTTCACCCTGTGGATGGCTTCCTTCAGAGTCTGCCTTACCACATATATCCTTTCATCTTTCCACTGCACAAGGTGGTTTATTTGGGTTTGTACATCTTGGTCAACATCTGGACAATTTCCATTCATGATGGTGATTTTCGTGTCCCCCAAATCTTAAGGCCATTTATTAATGGCTCAGCTCATCATACAGATCACCACATGTTCTTCGACTATAACTATGGACAGTACTTCACATTATGGGATAGAATTGGAGGCTCCTTCAAAAACCCTTCCTCCTTCGAAGGGAAGGGACCACTCAGTTACGTGAAGAAGATGATGGAAGAAAAGTGCAGCAGCCACGCAGGGAGTGCTTGCCAAGATGGAAAGTCACTCCTTGGAGAGTTTACAAAGACTGAGTAGATTATTAAGTATTTTTAATAAGAAAAATACTCTATATCCAGCCAAGAGACTAGCAGGTAAACAGTATCATTTGAAATCAGCATATGGTGCTGCTGAGGAATGACCCCTGTGGTGAATCAAGGCAAGACGCTGTGAGCATCGTGAACTTAGCCTCATGCCGGAACTCCAGATGGGGGTCCCAGGGACAGCGTGTGTCTTCCTAGGCAGCAGAGCTATCATCTGTATCGTCTCAATAACCGTTTTTAAAAGAGATATAATGCCTTAATCTATCATAATCATTCAGAAAAATCCGTTGTGCTTAAAATACCAAGGCAGCACCATGACAACGAAATACTAATATAGAGATGGTTCCTTGTTTCAGGAATGGTTATCTCTGGTTTCGGTATGATTTGCTCAAACATCAGTGTGGAAAGATATCCTGATACCGCATATCAGCAGCTTTGTAAATGGCCTATGAAAGCAGTGTAACTAGGTTACCACTTCTTACACATAGGAAGCTTATTCTCTAGGAACATTGTTAAATAATACGTTTTACTGATGAATAAATAAATTTGAATTTAAAAAAAATAATTGATCCTATCATGGTTTAATCCAGATCAGAGATTATTTAAGATTTTGATGGGTTTTATTCAAAACTATTTAATAGTTTAAAAATATGTGAACCTGAATATGCAGTATTTCCCCCTTATTCATGGGGATACATTCCAAGACCCCCCGTGGGTGTGTAAAACTGTAGATACTTCCAAACCACATATATGTATATATGCTATATTTTTTCTATACATACATAGCTGTGATGAAGTTTAATTTATAAATTAGGCACAGGTTAACAACAATAGCCAATAAACTATGGTAATTAGAAAGGAAATTAGATGCCCAAATAATACATTTGACACTACTGATTTTTAAATTAAGTTGATGCACTTTTTTGTTGTTCAGTGTATTCTGAAGAAAATGAAATGTAAAGTATCCCTTTTATGAAAATATTACCATGGAGGCTATTCAACATTTAAAGATAATAACCATTAGTAATAAAATACGAAGTTTTTCATGTGATTTACAGGAAAGTAACAAGATCTTCAGCCAGAATTTTCTAATTTCTAACAGCCCAGAAGCTATGTCAGAAATCACAAAGACAAAATTGGTTCTGTTTTGAAATATGAATGGCATTGGTTATGCTGTGTTAATTTTGCAAAATCAAGTCTCTGGCGGAACTGGCATTCCTTTTGGCTGGATGCACTGCACTTTTGACGTTTCACTGTCACAAATCTATAATTTTCTATAATCATTGCCAAATATGTAGGCCTAACACTGAAGGTTAGTTTTGAAATATTCTCCCCTCACTTTTTCCCACTTCCTCTGCAAAAGATTTAACTAATATTTTCATAAATGTTGTTTATTGTAACAAATATATTGGAGAAACATGGTTTGCAAAGACATTCTTTTAAAATCTATTTAAAATCAATAAAAGATGATTATGACTATTAAACTGTATCACAAATATTGTAACAGCACAGAGTACTCTTTGTACACTTTGATATTAATTTGAAACCACAGAAATGATGTGGATTGTCAGAACTGTTTTAGAGTGTCCTCAAATGCTCATTGTCAAGGGGAGAAGAAGAGAACCTAATTCTCTTTATGTTTCACGTTTGTATTAGATTTGAGGAGGTAAGCACTCTATTTTATGAGACTTGTCATAACACTAAATACTTGGGATCCAAATGAATTGTTTTTCCTCTTTGAATCAGTGTGACAATGTTTAGATTAAATACACCAGTGTACTACTCAATTTTCACTGGTAAATGTATCTCAGTGCTCTTCACTAACTACCCCCACCCCCTAGTACTCTGCTTTGCCCAAGAAAAAGAAGGACAGTTAGAAGTAAATTTTGTTTCCTAATGATAATGGGAGCTAAAATTTATGGAGCTTTTACTCTTGATCAGACACTGTTATAAATACTTGGAAACTGGGACCGGCTGCATAACTTTCCAAGGTTATTTCTCTTGTAAGCTTCAGTGAGCAGCCTTCCACAGTTACTCGGAGGTTCCTTCTGCCTTGGGAGCCGCCTGGCTCTCAGTCTGCAGTCTCTGTTCAAGGAGCCCAGAAGGGAAGAGGGAGAGGCACCCATGGACATGTCTGGGTCAGGCCTGGACGTCGGGCATATCCCTCGCATATGTTCCTTTGGACAGAACTCCGTCACGTGGCCCATCTAACTGACACTCAGAGACTTGGGTAATCAGTTTCTTTGACAGTTAGCCAGTTTGCCAAACTCATGTGATTCCCCTTTTTTATGGGGGTTCAAGTAAAGGTGTTGAAGAGATAAGTGCACTCAGGCCATCTCGAGTTATTCTTGAACACATTGTCTTCACATCCTTAATTCCGAAACTCTAATTGTGAACGTTAAAGCTTCCTCTAGATTTCATTACTATGTAGCTAATAGGAAAGAAAGGGCATAATTTATGGAGAGAGGGAAGCTTCCTCAAAGGTAATCAAACTAGTGTCTGCCCTCCCACCCCTTTTTTTCAATCCTCACCGAATGATATGCTTTTATTGATTTCTAGAGAGAGAGCAAAGGTCAATCATTTGCCTCCCCCATGCGCCCTGAATGGGGATCAAACCTACAACCTAGGTATGTGCCCTGACCAGGAATCGAACCCACAACCTTCTTTGATGTACAGGATGATATTCCAACCAACTAAGCCACGTGGCCAGGACCCACCCTTTTTCTTAAAGTCTGATCTTACTAAGAAATAGTGTGCTGAGCAGTCCTAAACACTTTTGTACACTACCATCACACTCTTCTCCAGGAAAGGATTTCAGAGAATATTCTTTGAAGTGAGGATCTAAATTCCCACAGGAAGGGAAAATCAAGATTATATTTTTCATGTTTATGTTAAAACTTGGAAAATGGATGGAGGTGATACAAAACCCAGAAGCCTTTGCTGACTCCTCATCGGTGTCTGTCTCTCTCTCCCTTGTCGGATGCTGTGGCCGCTGCCTTCTCGTCGCCCTGCACATGTGTCTTTTCCTCCATCTTCAGGAAGTCGGACAGAACTCCGAGTTCAGTTCTTGAGACCTGGTTTATAGTGCAGGCTGGTTGTTTATATAGAGATGGTGTCTGGGAGGAAGATGGAAACTAGGGAGACAAATCAGAACAAATACATTTGTGATTAACTCATGGAGGAAAGGTTTGAGACCCTGAAACCAATGAGTGCATGAAAAAACGATGTCCAAAGAGACCAACTGAAGGGTGAAGAACTTCTTTTGCTTGTTTTTCTAACTTCAAATTCAAAACACTTGCTAGGTTGTCTGTGTCAGTGTTCACTGCTTTTTATTGTTGTGCTGCTGTTTATTCTAGACCCTAAATTCCTTCAAAGTAGAGACCATGTGTGAATCGTGGCTGTAGTAAACCGTATGTCCTTCTGGAATGCCGAGACCTGGGTGTGGTTCAAGAAATACTTAGCTGAATGAAGGAGTGGACATGCCGCACCCTTCAATAAATATTTAACCCCTTTGTCAAACACTGAATAGGTGCAAATCTTTCATCTCAGACACTGTCTTTTTAGCCAACAATTGTTCTCATTTGTTCATTAGCTGACATTTGCTGTGTGCCTGGGGGGAGTCCCAGGGAGAGCGACGGGGAACTAACATGGTCACTGCAGCAGAAACAGGCCATCTTTCATTTCCTTGCTCAGAGTCACGCCTTCCTCTGGAAGTGAACCATCCAGTACCCGGGATTCAGACCATGTGGGACTCGGTGATATGAGTACTGGTTCGAGAGGGGAGTGAAACTGGGGTTATTACATAAACTAGCTCTGGCACAGGAAAATCCTCACAAGTATTGATAGCTTCCGTCAAGAAGGTACAAGCCTGGCAGGGTGATCTTTAGCTTCAGGTGGAGCCTAATTCATCTCGGAGGAATTGTGGAAGCTGAGAGTTTTGGAGTGAAACAGTTTCGAATCGTGGCTCTGCCACTTGGCTGACTTCATGGCCTTGCTTTCTCTATCTGTAAATTGATGAAAATACTACCTACCGAGTAAGACTAAAGTTAGAAACATGATCAGAGGCTCCCATTCATGGAAGTTGTGCTTCATGTCTCCAGGTTTAATGGTTATTATTAAGCCGACGGTATGTTCTGAGTAGAAATCAGTTGCAGGGAGAACAAAGCCCAGAGAGGACCCGAGGTGGCTGCGGCGTAGGTGGAAGCCACACACCTCCCCACGCTAAACCGAGGTCACAGCTAAATAAAGCGATCGCCTGGGTGAGCAAGTGAAAGACGCTGAAGAGGAGATTGTATCCAAGGATTTAAGAAGTGGCCCAGGGACTGGGAGGGACTGAGAAGCTGGAGGGATATCTCGGCTGCAAGGGTCCCCCCTTAGGAGTGTGGGGTGTCAGTCCCAGAACTCCCAAACCAGAGCCCCAGGGCCGGGAGGAGGAGCCTGCAGTGTGGCAGTGAGTCAGTGGGACTCTGTGCCCTGGAGAGAGGAGGAGCCCCCTAAAGCATCAACCCCGGGGCCGCCTGGAGCTCTGGTAGAGGGAAGGGGACAGCATGGGACGCCATGAAGACCTGGGAGGTGTGGCTCCGGAGGGATCCGCAGGGCCGGCTGCTGAGGTCCTGTCCTGGGTCAGCTCCCACTCCGCCTTCAGGTGCCACATCCCAAGGCTGGCGATCCTACTTTTTACAGCACCTCCTGGGCCTGCACCAACAGGTCCTCCACATAAGGTGGCACCACCATGCCAAGCTCCACTCTGGTAGAAAGGGCCGTTTGTCTATCAACAGGGTCCTGAGCTGTGCTCTTTTCCTGGAGAAACTACCGGCAGACTCTCAGATGGTCATTGAACTGTGACCTTGAACAGAGACAAACCCCCCCCTCCCATGGGTTCAACAGGCGCCACTCCCCATGGAAACCCCTCTGCTGACCTGCACCACCCCCAGTGGAAGTGCTAATTCCCACTCGTCCTGCCTAGCTCGGCTCAGCTCAGGGGAGGAACTTGGCCCTGCTCAGAGGTGGGGCATTCATTAGAGGACATCTCTCCCAGAGGCTGCATGGAGGGGCTCCAGCAGGCGTGGCTACAGGGCTGAGGGGAGGTGTGCAGTTCGCCCCTTTCCCTGGCCCAGCAGTGCCACCCCAGTGGAGGGCTTTCTTCATCTCTTTGCCTAAGTCCCAGTGACCTCAGTGACCTCGTCCTGCTCAGCTGGCTTCTGCAGTGGGGACAGCCAGCTGCACCCAACATGAGCCTGTGGTGCGCTCCTCCTGGGGGAGCTGGCGTTGCAGGCTCTGGCAGAGACTGAGTGGTATGGCTCTGCAAAGGCGGCCACCTTCTCCCCATTGAGTGCCTGATCGTGCTGCCCCAAGTCAGGCACCCAGAGTCCTGTCTTCCCAGCCCAGCTGCCCCGCCCTACTGAGCTTGAACCATGTGTAAGGGTCAGTGGGCCTGGCCAGTGTGGCCTGCTCTGTAACCTTTCTGCATAAGACTCTGGGAAGTCCAGGCAACCTCAGGGGGAGGAGCTGATAGGAGGTTGTCGACCTCAGGAGCCTTAAGCTTTTCATCTGCCCCAGCTCAGAGCTTTAGGAAGCCAATCCTGGAACACAGCCTGGCCTCCCACACACACCCCAAGCCCAGTAGACACAGCCACAAAGAGTGAATAGTGTGGTGGCTCCAGATGGGTAGCCCAAGGCTGGTTACACACAACATCTGACATTGACCTCCACTGGAGTCCTGGCCAACACAACCAGTGGTGGGCTTCCAACCACACCAGAGCTCAACCCAACTAGCCACACAAATGGCACAGGCAAAAGGGGGGCCCGGAAGCCACGAGACCCTGCTGGAACCACTCTGTCTCAGGGGGCAGCTCTCGAACAGCAGCTCACACATGGTGAGTGAGGTCTGTCCAAATAATCAGGCCACCTGAAGGTTAACTACCCACCAAGCAACCAACAGCATTCGGCACATGACCCACACAGGAATTACTTCTGGAGCACCTGGCTCAAGGGTTTAGAAGATTAAGCCACCGAGACCCACAAGGCACCTACATCAGAAGCCCTCGTCACAAGCTTGGGAGTCAGCAGATCTACCTAACACACAGAGATGAACACAGAAAGGTAACAAAATGGGGAGACAGAAATATTCTTCAAATGAAAGGGCAAGAGAAGTCCCAGAAAAAGAATTAAAGAAATTGAAGCAACAAAACTCCAGATGCAGAGTTTAAAGCAATGTTATTAGGATGCTCAGGGAACTTGGGGAACAGTCTCAGTAGTAAGTTAAACAAAGAGACATTTACTAAAAAGACATAGAAGCCATGTAACAGAACCAGTCAGAAGTGAACGGTGTCATATTTGAAATGAAGAATATGCTGGAAGGAAGCCCAGCAGGTTAGATGAGGCAAGAGGTTGGATCAACAATGGAGAGGGCAAGCGAGCAGTGTGGCTGGCCCTGGCCCAGTGTGGCTGCCAGGAAGCTGGAGGGTATGGACTGCAAACTCGATTGACCAAATGCTCCTGAACATGTAATATCACTTACATATTTGATCAATTATATTTTCTTAAACATTTTTTTAATATTTTTAATTTATTGATTTTTGAGAGAGAGAGGAAGGAGAGAAAGAAAGAGAGGCAGAGAGAAACATCGGTTTGCTGTTGCATTATGTTATGCATTTACACAGAAGTAGGAAAATGCGTCTCCCTTACGTAAAGGGACAAGTTAGGTCCAGGAGAGAGGGGCCACGCCTAACGATGTACCCAGAGAGTCAGAGCTCCTGTCTAGTCAGGACACGGCCCCATCTGTGGGTGAGGAGGCCTGGTTTCC